AGGGTTCGAATCGATGGGTTCGAGGAAGAAGACGAGACGCAATCTGATCGAGCGTTTGGGTGTGGAGGATGGAGTTACCGCGAAGAAGGTCCTTGATTTTGATTCTATGCCTGAGTTCAATCCTCCGATTGGAGATTTGAGTTCAATACTCAAAATCATTTTTGATTTTGATTKTGTYCCTGAGTTCAATCCTSCGAGCGATTAGTTTTGATTTGTGTATGCAGGTGAGAAACGAAACAATTGGGAGCAGTCGAGGAACGAAGATGGCAGTGGCAGATTTCGGAAAGCTGAATCTCGAGGAACCTCCTCCGATCTTGCAGCGTTGATTGCTTCYAAAAYCTCGAACAAATTGGTGAAGGAACTTACGGGTCTACTTCTCAAAAATCCTTRCCCTATTTCCTTTGAATTCAATTTCAAGTTTCTAGGTATTCAAAAAGGCTCAGTTTTTACTTGTGAGACTTGGAGTTTGATGAATTGGGGTTTGATTGTATGATTCGGCTTTTACAATGCCTATGCATTGTATACTTTCGTTGTAGCAGAATGATCAGGTTGATATGCAAAGTGAGAAAATGTTAAAACTTCGAGCTGCTTTAGAGGGAAAGCTAAGAAGCAATGGAGTTCTTGGTTCTACTGTTTCGAAGTCTGATAAATCTCAAAAACGTCAGAAATTAACTAATAGGTAATTGATACTCCTTTACTATGATGAATTTTGTTATCTCTTTCTTAAGATTGTGATGTAATATTAATTTTCAATCCCGTATGTAACCAGGAAGCTGGAGACATTCGATGATTATGTGGATGATGCAGACAATAGCACTATGTGRAGTGATGATGATTCTATATATGCAACAACAGTAAGCACAATTTACCTTTTCATAATCRTCTGTTTCAGATTTCACCTCACAAAGCCTAACTAAAGGTTTTTTTTTTATATGACAGGGTTCCATTCAAACTTCAAGCACTTGGGATAGTTTGGGTAGCTCACTATCCTGTTATTTTTGTTGCTATGTATATATATAGAAACTTGTGCTTATGTTTGTATATTGTTATTTATGGATTTATGAACATTTGTTAGGGTGTATATCAGATTTTGCTCTTCTTGCAAGCATTGGAT